TGCCTTGAACGATAGATTGATGAAAGCAAAAAAATTATGCGATGAGAAAAAATATTTATTTATAGCAATAGATGTAGAAAGTTATGAAAGAGATCATACTTGTATTTTGGAAGTTGGATGGAGCATGTATAATTCTAAATCGGATCTTTTTATGGACCGACACTTCTGTGTCAAAGAGTATATGCATCTTAGAAATAACAAGTATGTGGCAGATATGAAAGATCGCTTTATTTTCGGTGATAGTGTATGGGAAAGTTCCGAGAATATAGCATTAGAATTTACTAAAGATGCTACACAAAAAGAATTTGTGCGAGAAAACGAAGAATTCAACGATGTAATTTTGATTGGACATGATATTGCAATGGAGAAGAAATATTTAGAACGCATGGAAATTAAAATTGACGAGGTTATTAAACCTAAAGAAGTGTTTGATACTGCTGAATTAGATGGTGCGAGGACAGGTAATGTCTCTCAACGTCCTAGTTTGGGAGGTATGTTGGATGATTTGAAAATTGAAAACTATTGTTTACATAACGCAGGTAAATAATGTCTGAATTACACACACACACATATATATGTATGTATATATAAAAATATTAATTTATATTGATTATGGATTATTTTTATTGTCAAATAGGTAATGATGCACATTATACTATGTGTGCTTTCTTGGAAATTTGTAAATTACCAATAACAAATGTTTCACCGCCAGAAATAAAATCTTGATTTACTTGCAACTTTATTATATTATTGTTATTATTTATATTATCACCATTTATTATATTTCTGATTATTATTATTATTATTATTAAGTGAATTTAAGCTTAATAAAATTTGTAAGGATTTGCGAGAAAAAAATAATAAATCTAAATTATAGCATATTTATCATAAATCTAGACTTTTCGAGAGTACCTTGTAACCTGGCCAAAACTTGATTCGTAATCTTTAATATCGCCCAAATATGGATCTGATTTATATTAAAAGAATAATGAAGCGATTTATTATCTCGTTACATTTCGTATTGATTTAAACTTTTTTTTAAAAAAAAGTAGTATTTATCTCTAATAACTTTTTCACCTTGTGGATCATACTCACCAAATAATTTGACTGGGAGGAATAAAATATTAATTGATAAATCAACAACCCCAAAATCCAATCCAAAAAAATATATATACAATGCATTACCGATCGATTTTGAAGCTTCAGGTTTAAGACGTTCTGCATCAAGTAAATTCATCTCATCCATACACAAAACATAATCAAACTCGTCAAATCTTCTTTTGAGATTCTTCTGGAT